AATCCGACGAAAGACAGAGACAGGACAGGGCTTAAATACACAGAAAACTAATGATGAAACTGAAAACACCTGGTGAGAAACACGAGGGTGACAATCAGACAGATAGGGAGCAGCTGAGCTGTGACACACTGGGGAACACTGAAAACACTAGAAAACTAAGAAAATAAACACAGATCCTGACAAGAGCACAATGAAATTACATTTAAGAACACCCATTTAAGAAGACACACATGGCAAAAACATGGGGGAATAGGTGTACAGGTCATGCGGCATCCAGCAGGGGTCACGCTACCTTTAAAAAAATGAAAACAAAAACACAGAGTGTTAGATGAGGAAAAAAACAAAACATCATATTATATCAACAAAAACGTGACACACTATGGTGCTTATAAAAACACCTCTACAAGCAAGAGCACATTTATTAGCCAGAGGAATAAGTGGCTTTAGAGGGCATGTTGTATGCACTTGTTTGAATGTCTGAAGAGTGAGTCCGAAGAATCCAGTCCCCAAAAGATAAACCCACATAGTTCAGCCATTGTTCAGAATATTAGTGTTGAATTGTTCATTCTTTATAGCTTCAGGTTGTCTGTCAAGGGATCAGATTAGACGGGAGTGAGAGGGGGTAGAGGAGGTGGTGGTGGTGGTGTGGGGGGGGCACGTCAACGTAGACACCAGGAGGAATTTAGTTTCACAGCTTTCAAGGTAAACGGGGGTGGGGTGGAGTGGGCGGTGCTAATCTGTAATCAGTTATTTGGAAACAGAAGAAAATTTTTACGGTCAGGCAGACAATAACAATTTTTCATCTGCCTTAATGTTCGCTGGTACATCCAATGTGGCGAATCCAATCAGACAAATAGTGTGGACAATCCCGCCAAGCCATGCTATCAGCTTCTCCGAGATTAATTCCATCTCGCCAGCAAAGTCCTGGGACCACAGCCGGCCCGCGACCCTCAGCAGGACCGCTTGCAGACCGAGTCCCAGCTCGTTCAAGGCTAAAGTCTGAGTGCTGAAAGAACGACAATCCTTCATATTGGTCAGGCAGCCAGGAAATGCCTGAATAGCCACCTATGCCATTTTGTAGAACACCAGGAGACCACCAAGCCAATCTGTAGAATCCAGTGATCAGAATCCAAATCCAGAACAGAGCAGCAAAGGTCTCACCTTTGACATGTCCTCCCATGGAAGAAAACTTTGTTCCAAAAATTTATTAATAGACCAGCTGAACAAATCCATAAAAATAAAATATCCATAATTTCTAGTTTCGGATGAAAATATAGAGGATGCTCCCAAGCAGTAAAGCAATAAAAGATAAGGGAGGGCAGGAGAGAGGGAAAAAGCATCTTGCTCCTCTGAGAGAAGGAACAAAAAAAGATATCATTTTGTACAGTTTGTTTACTTCCTGATTCAACTGCTTGATGTTTGAACTGTATTTAGTGGATGTAAAAATAATTTCCATAAACTTTTAGCCAAGATTCTTAGGTTTCTATTGTTACAAAACATGTCCAGGTTCAACTGACAGATCTCAAGTTAACATAAGTTAAAAGAAATAGAAAACAGGAAAAACTGTTTTGCCCCCCGTACCAGGGGCTTGGGGCTCAAGAAACGCACACATATGTGGGAAGTTGGAGAAAAAGTGTCACCTTTGTCATTTTATGAATTATGTTTCCTCTGAATTGTTACAAAATTTCTTTCATAATTAATCAATTATACCTGATTCGATAATATTTCAATGTGGGACTGGACAGTTGCTGTTGTTAACTACAGGATCTGGAGACAGAATAATCAAAAAATCTGATTTTGAGCCAAGTTTTAAGACAGAGATTGAAGAAATGTCTGCCTGGAGTAACCTCTCTTCGATGGACGTGTCTCACAATCATTTCTACTGTTTTACAGATAGATCCCTTCTGAAGGGGTCAGTAGGAGACGGGGTGCTGTTTTTATACAACCATAGTGACAGGGTACAAATACACACTAGGTGGTTTTGGAACTGTATCTCAAGCTGAGRTATCTGCAATCCACCAGTGTGTGGCATCTCTCAAAGACCTTCAGTGTACACAGAAGGAAATATTCATCCTAACAGATAGCCAAGCTGCTATTAGAGCTCTTCAAGGGCCACATTTTACATCATTATTAGCTTGGGAGTGTGCCGAACAACCAGCTGGGGAGAGATAACAGTGTTACTAGCTATGTTTACATGCACAAAATTCTTTGATCGGATTGAAATATGTTCAAATTAAATAATCAAAATGTATCATTTACATGGGCACAATCCGAGCATGACGAGTGTTTACATGCACCATGCTTTTATTCAGAATAGCAGCATTGACATGCAGAGTTGCTAACTTTCCCTAAAACAAACCCACAGAAAAAAGTTCTACTTTAGTCATGAACATTAACAAAAAGCGTCTGAGCTCAGAATGGACCTGCGATAGGTTTTAACAATGGTGGCGACATTACTGCACTCTCTGGTTCAGCTGCTGGTGACGCGCAGACTTTTTATTTTTTGCGAAGCGGCGCTAGCTGTGTCTTTCTTCTTTATTGAATGAGAAAACTGGAGGAAAAGTTCTGTGCTGCTGGAAACTACAGTGCTGCTGTCCCTCCCTCCCTCCACATAAGAGCAGAAACCGGTGGATGAAAGTCAGCAGACATGCTCAGTCAGGTCAGATTTCCACAATCAGAATAAGATGATCGGATTAAGTGTTTACATGCACGCTGTTCGGATTATCAATCGGCATAAACCACCTCTCTCATTCCGATTACAAATTCATTCCAATCAAGCTGAATCGGGTTACAATAATCCAAATGGGTTGCTTACATGACATTTTTATTCCAAATGGCCGTTTAATCCGATTACTTATGTCCATGTAAACATAGCTAGTGTTAATGAGTACCAGGACATACTGGCATTAATGAGAGAGCTAACTGTCTTGCAAAAGCTGAGATTCTGGCCCACTTCAAAGGATCAGAACCGGTTGTAGGTATCTCAACAACAGTCTGTAGGACTGCCCTACAGGCCTGGATAAGACATCAACACTCAATCAGCTGAAGGGAGCTGATTCACTGTAGACAGGCACAGGAAATGATAAACGGCCCAAATCTTAGGTTTGGAAAAGTTCTCATTGCCCTGACAAGGAAACTTTTAAGTACACTGGTTGGAGTCCTAACTGGGCACAACCTGCTCAACTGCCACCAACTGGGACTCCATGACAATGGTCTGTGTGATGCCTGTGGCATTGAATTAGAGACCTCTTTGCCCTACTTAAGCCACTGCCTGGCTCTGAGTAGTCAAACAAAAATAATTATTGGGGACCCCTTTATGGATCCTGAGAATCTCAGAACACTGAGTGTTTCTAACCTCATGTCCTTCGTCAGAGGGACAAGAAGGTTTGAATAAAGACCAGTATCTTTTTGGGGAGTGCAATGGGCTCACTTACGAGGCCCCCACTTAAATGGGTTCTTTATCCATTCCCACTCACCATAATCATAAAAAGAGCATTGACTGATAATTCTCCTTTAAACTAAGCTCTTCTGGGTTTTTCAGACAGTTTTTCTTTGTATTGACATAATGTAGAATTTGTGTATTAGTTGTCTTATATTTAAGACATTTTAGTGATTTGTCAATTTTTTTTTTTGGTCAGTAAGGGAGATGTCCTGCAGTGACTTTGTGTCATGACAGGATTTACGTTGACAGTTGTTTCCAGAGCTAGGCCTCAATCTGTTGCTTGGCTACACCATCCATGAACGCTGACTCACACAACTATTGGTCAAATATGTACTGTAATAATCAGACATTGAAATCATCTTCCCTTGTTTCAACTTGCAAAACTCCAAATGTTTCATTTTACAGAACTAAGAAACAAGTTAGTACTCTGAGTAACAAACTGAATCCCATTTTATTAGAAAAGTGGAATTGCCTCTCTKAGGTAAATGTATAACATATGTCCATTAAAAACTTACTTTAGCTGTTCAGAGAAGACGGGCTGAACAGATGTTTGGACCACAGGACCCAGTTTGATCCAGAAACAGATCATCTGTCCTAAAAGGCAATACTTCCAATTGGATGAACTCAATTGGCCTTTAGGCTAATAAAAGTAAGAAAAATATCCATATAKTTAAAATTACATCAAAATTCATGTGAGACTTTATGTATTTTTTTTCCATCTGATAAATACAAATGGGGATCACTTCCTCTATGTGGGTACATTAAGAGCTCCTGATAAAACAGAATCTCCATATAAAATACACCAGACCTGTCCTATACCAAATCCCACCTCCACTTTCTACACTGCAGAGTTCATTATGTTAACATATCAAAACACCAGAGCGTCATAACAGAGCTCTGTAATCATTTTTGGAGTATAATTTTTTTTTCTAGCATGATAAAAAAGCTTTACTTTTTTTTTTTTTGGCTAATTTCAACTTACACCAATTATTTGATTGATGACACAAAGGTCCATTTTGTTGAGTAAAATCATATTCATGGTTAAGAACACTGACCGGAGTTAGAGTAAGTGGACAGTAAAGAAAAGCAAACGTGAGTTGTCTGCTGCTGCTCTGCTGTGTGGATGTGAAATTTACCACTGCAGAAGCCTATTACTGCCTAGAAAGAGAATATATTTATCAGAGCTGCTTCCATTATTAATAAGCACAGAGTTAAAAGTGAATATGTGTCAGAGGAGCTGAATAATGTTGAAGCTGGGTCTAGATTCTGATGGTCTCACAGGGAGTATCAACAGTGCAATGCATTTTCATCCCAAATCTAAGCAGAAGGAAGCATGGCTTTAATCTCCACTGCTCCCCTCTTTCTGCTGCTACAAGACCTATAATTATACAATTATTTAGTGGCAGGGGAAGGATGTTCTACAATGAGTGGTTAGCAGAAGAAGGCAACATTTTGAGGATGCCAGAGCTGGGCGGTTTTTACTGTAAAAATGTTATTTTGATCATGTTTACTGTGCTGCGAGCTCTCTATTTACTGATGATCGTCCCTTTCTCTGCAGCCTGTGAGGTGGGCTTCTACAAACCTGTGGCAGGTGATGGTGTGTGCGGTAAATGTCCTCAGCACAGCCACTCGGGGACCAGAGCTGCCGTCTCTTGCCCTTGTGACTCCAACTACTATAGAGCCACAGATGACCCGCCTGCAGCTGCTTGCTCCCGTAAGCACAAACACAAACTACAGCAAATAACAACCCTACACTCTGTTTACCGGTGCAGAATTCATTGATCTGACTGAAGATTTAATAATCCCAATGTACAGTTTATTTGTGCACAAATTAATTAATCTTACCATGATGAGTGTTTTCATGCACCAGGCTTTTATTCAGAATAGAAGTACTGACATGCGCAGAGTTGGAAACTTTCCTTAAAAGATCACAGAAGAAGTTCTACTTCTGTGATGAACAGAAACAAACATAATTGACCTGCAGCAGGTTCTGATAACAGTGGAGTTGTAACTGCTGTCTGTGTTCCTACACTTTCCACTGTAGGGTTCACCAAAGGAGAAATAAACATTGTCTTTGACTCTGGTTTATAAAGACCTTTCTCAAAAGAGACATTTTATTTTCTTTAATAAACAAAATAATGTTTTTTATGCTTTTTATTTACTTTCCTGTTAACCTTCAGGCATAAAATACCATAAAACGCCTTAAAAAGTAGACAAAATTAAATGAAGTACTGCTTTTGAACCCTTTAGAGTAAATTCACAAGCTTGGTCTCTTTTTAAAGCTAATAATCCGAATTTTTAACTTCAACAGTCATATTCTTTGTAACTGTAACTAGTATTTAGTATATTGAAGTAAAATACACAAAAATCAAGATTTTTTTCTTCCTAAATTTTTATCATTTATTAATAAAGTATCACAGAATATTAAGGGAATTAGATATTATCAAACAAATTTATTGGGCTAAAATATTAATTCTCAACTATTACCAGTTCAAATTTGGTAACAGTAGCATAAAATATGAATATTTGACACATAGTACAATCCAGCATATCTCATTTGCATATTTGTACACCGTGAAGTATGTCCAAACTGTACACTTTTGTCTAAAACACTGTAATTTCTAAATTCTTCAACACAGATACTTGACTCTGGGCCCAAATTAAAGATATAACCCCGACAAAACACATTCTACCATCCATATTTACTCACAGCATGATTAAATAAAAAAAACATGAATTAATATTCATAAATATTTACACCAACACTGTACTTTCAACCAAATTCACCAATAACCAGCCAAACTATAAGAATAAACAATATATCCTTATATCTTTCACAGCATTAACATTCCACACAGCTTTTAAAACCACCAGCTGTGAAAAAATATTTGTTTTTCACTCACATTTGATGCATATTTGTCCTCAAATATGTCCAAATTTGCGATACAAAATGGCGACCGTAAGTCTTTTTATCCAAGTAATTTTGCTTTTCTAGGCCAAAAAAATCCCTCTTCCATGTCTTGAAGCACTCAAAAACACAAAACACTTAATAACAAATATATTTTCATCTTATCAGCCTGTTTCGTCAGCTAACTGGCCAAAAAACGGTGGAAAACAACGTTTTCCTGTGAACGTTAGCTGCCTTCCTTAGCATAGTAACACTGCCGAAACATGGCCGCCTCCACTGTGTTATCATCTTCCATCACTAACAAAGTTCCCACCCCATCTTTATATACATTAAATGAAAGGTTCGGTGATTGGCTACACAGCTGTATTGTCGGAACGAAGCTCAGAGCTGATTGGCCGATTTTACAGTCAATCAAAGCTAGAAAGATAAAAACCGGAAGTTGGTCACCACTGAGATTTTAGTGGCCCTAGACAGCCGAAACTTSACCCCAGTTGGTCAAATGAGGTGTCAATCGAAAGAGGAGGGCCTAGACGTCAAGTTTGATTCATTGCACATGGACACAGGTGGAACAGGAAACAGATATCATACTTCAAAATAAAATAAATACAAAACGGCACGCGAGCATTCCGCTGAATGTTATTATCATTTTATAAATCAAAAGTTACATAATGAAAAGAGTAACAATTAATATTTTACATTATACTTAAGAAAAAGAAATAACACACAAGAAGAAAATTGTTGAAATGTTTCTTTATTTGTTTGACAAAAATGTTTATTTAATCAACTATTGTTTTTACAGTAAAAGTGATTGTTTTTCTTTTTTCTTTTTCAATTTAACTATGTTGATCATTGTGATTATGACTTCACTGTGTTTTATTAAGAAATATGCCTAGATAAAATATTTGTGTTTGAATCACAGACAAATATTTTTAGATTTATTTCAATTTAAATTATTTCCTTTTATTCCACTGAACTTCAGTTCATTTTTCACTCAGTGTTAGTCTGTGAAAGTTAAAACTTGTTTTTCTGAACAGGTGCAAATATTTATCCCATGGCAGGGAACTTTTAGACTAAACATTTCACTCTTCCTGCCTGTACTAACCAAGACAAGGTCATTCTTAGCTTCTCCTCTTTAGAAAACTAACACACGAACTTGCCTTGAACAGAAGGAAAGAAGGAAGAGATGAGGAAAACATAAATTTTCTTCTCATGAGCTGTTTTCCTTTTACAGGAGAATTCAGCACTTTGACAAAGAGATTTGTCTAATGAGCCAATGAGCAAGTCTAGAATCAAGACACATTCAGTCTTGATTCAGTAACAGCTTTTAAGCTCATTTATTTTGGAACTTCTGATGAGAAGCTTTTATTTTGAAGAAACCTGAACGGAGTACCTTGTCTTTCTCTGCCGAACAAAAGCAGATCTTTTGAGGCGCAATACATGAAACATGGGAGGTTTTACTGGTTGTGAGGTTCCTGAGCTGGCAATCCTTAACAAACCGAGTGAACTCTTCCCTCAAGCTGACCTGACGGTCAAAAACACCAACAGGTAAAGCGGAAGTTTTGTAAAGTGTCCGGAGATCCGGACGAAGCAGTGGGCTAACGCAGGGTGATGTTCTGGTTTCCACTTAGATAAGATAATTGATAATTCTTAAATCTTAAAGCTAATCCTCCTTTTCTTTACCGTTCTTAATCTTAAAATCTTGCCATAAGTTTAATGTGCCTGTAAACACCTGGTTTCTCAAGATCTAAGCCTAAAGTTTACAGTCCACAGTTCTTTATGAGTTGTCATGTTTAAGTACGGACGTGTACGAGATTTTGTGGATGTTTAACTCTTAAAGTTCTGATTATTCACATTAGTTTGTACATTAGTAGTTTATTTTATTCTGTACATAAATATTTATTTTAGAACACTTGAACTACTGAACTGGCAAATTATTGTGTGTGTTTGTGTGTGTGTTCTCACTTTTGCCACAGAGAGGTATTTCATCTTCCTAGAAAAAGGACTCGTGATTCCTCATAACTTTTAAGTTYTGAGAGGTGTTAGAGACCCAAAGTTCTCTTACACCACCATCAAGGTATTTAATAATTTTGAGCTCTTTCAAAGTTTTTAATAGAAATGTATCACTAACTGTTATGGCCTGGGTCACAAGACCGCAATAAAGAAAGGGAGAACACGACACCGATCAAAAGAGAAAGTCTAGGAGTTTGCGTGGGTGGCAACCCAGGCAATCTGGCCTTCGCCTGGAAGCTGCTGAACTGGCGTGTGCCCCTCATCACCTGGCCCTCAATCATGCACTGAGCTTCAAGCCTGGATCGGCTTCAAACAGGACCTCCACCATGACTTCCACAGGCATTGCCATGGGCGTAACTGCCATAGGCACCGGGTGGGACATGCCCCCCCACCCACTTCCAATATCTGTGCCCTCTGCCCTCGCCACACACTTTTTTCAGCCGAAGCAAAAAAAAACCTTTAAAAAAATGTCCCCCCACCCCCCACTCACACACACACACACACTTTTAAGATGGTGTTTACGCCCTTGGGCATAGTGTCTCTAATATGCCACCTCAGTCATGCTCCCACTGGACCTCGCCACAACACTCCGTCAATGCTGAACCAAACACCAACCAACCAGCCCACCGACTAGGCTAGGTACTGGAAGCTTCTTGTATTTGCTCCAGGTAACCTCACGTGACCTTGGGCTCCTTCCCTTCCAGTACCTTGAAAGAAGCACAATTAGTAGGCACCAGCAGGGGCCRTCACATAACCAACTCAGGTCAGTTTTCTACAATCAGAACAACATGATAAGATTAATGTTTACATGCACGCCCTTTAGATTATCAGTAAGCATGAATGGACCAAGATGAATCAGATTAGAATATTCTGATTGGGCTGCTTTATTCCTACAATTCRTGTACATGTATGGTGGGACTCTTTAGGCATCTCACTGTTTGTTTATGACTCAGAGGATAGAGATGTAGATACAAAATGATTTAATGATTTTCGTTCCTGTTGTAGAGCRTGGGGTTGACTGTGATTGGCTCCAGAGTGTGCAACATAATAAACAAGCCATGGCTTCCAGGGACAGAATGACAAACATTTGGCATTAGGAGTTATGATWACTGCAGTTTGTTTTGTCTTTCTTGAGTTTAGTGACAAATTAAACTAAAACCTTTCTAAACAACCAGGCTACTTAACACGATCTGCTCTCATTAACCATCCACACACATTCACAGCAATCTGCTACAATCTGCACCGCTAGTCTGAAGAAATCTTTCTGCAGAGTTTAATCAGGGCTGAGAAGTGTTGGAGACAAGGAGTTCAGTCTCACCCAGAGTCACTTTCTACACATGACTTCAGACAACTGCTATCAGACCTCCCACTCGATGATTGGAGGAGGAGCCACAGGTTAGAGGTGTATGCTACTGGGCTGGGAGGTATTAATGAAAAACTTATCACAATATAAGCATTTCATATTGGTCATATTGATAATTATTGATTTGTTTTAGACAACATCGGCCAGACTCTTGTTAAACTTAACATATTTGAAATCCTGCCAAACTGGTGACTTTTCCTCTTTTCTCCACAATTTCCTCTCAAGCTGTTGCATCGTTTTCTCCATTCACTCCACACTTTTTTTTAACAGTTCTGAGGCATGGTGGAAAAACATGAAGCTACTACTGCACATTAATTCACAGGTTTTTTTTTTTTTGCTACCTCACCTTGTTTAGCTGCAGGCTTTTAGCTGTTGGGGCATCATAGTGACACCCTCTTCTGGTTTTTGGATGCCTCATTTCAGTGAAGCTTTTATTTTGAAGATAAATCTTAGATTTCTTGTTTAGCTGAAGGATTCTAGCTTATTTCATCAGAAAGTAATCAATAGTTAGCAGTTATTAACCAGTGAAATTACCAAAGTAATATTGGATGTGTTTTCTTTTGATATTGTTGTGAACCTTCACTCTAATGACAATTCACTTGCACTTCTTATAACAAAAGTTATGTGRAAATACATGGGTTCTTCTGTTTAAGGAAACAAACAACCTATCTGTGTAAAAATGTGACCACACAATAAGTGAACGTGAGACAGATGTTTTAGTTGATCCAATAATAAACAAGATCATTTATTCACAGGATCAAATAAATCACTACTATACAGCTTATTGTGCACACTCAAATTTCCTATAAAAAGTTTAACAACAAACTTTTAGGTTTAGATGTTAATAAACCATTTGTTTGCAGCASTTTTTCTTAAGTTTTGACAGGGCATAGGTTTAAGAGAAAAGAAAGGAGGATAATGAAAGGAAGATGATTAGTTAGTTTTAACTTTATCCTTTGAAGAATGTGGATTTTAACCAGAGGGCATACATCTCTCAACAAATCCGCCAGACCTCAGGTAGGCTCAGTAACGGTCAGCCTTTACCTTGTACCTTGGTTCAAGTCAGGGAAGATCGTCCAATTGGGGTGAAGAACTCTCAGATCCTCATCCAGCTGGACACTGCTAGGCACATTACTCTTCAGCATTTCCTGGGTTGTTTTAAATTGAAGATCAGAGATGAGCCGCTTCTCTGTACCCTTCTCAAAAATAGAATACTTCCGCTATGGAAGTTGCTCTGTGTGTGGCTTTTGATAAGCTCAGATAATGGACGAGACCGAGTGGTAGTCTGTCCAGACTGAGAGGTTATCCCGTTGACTCAGTGGGCCAAACCTCACAGCCAAATGCTGGTTCTCCTATTCGGAGAGCCAGCTGCGTCCTCGTGAAGCACGAGTGCGTTCTCTTCTCAACTTAACTGACTGTTGTTAGTTCAGAGATGTTAATTTAAAAAGATAGGAAGTGTTTTTGAGGCACTGCTAGGTGTTATTTTTCTTAACATTGTTGACGTCTGTACGGTCTGTTCTGACCTGCACTCTGCTGAGAGCACTTTAAATTACACTTAAAGAATAATTTACTGAAAACGTAAAAATTATTATTTTTTTAATTAAAACATCCATTATGATGATTCTGACAAAATTAATTGTAAAATGTTTCATAATAAAGCTTAACCATAATTCTGAATTTAGTTAAGTAAAATGTTTCAACTAAAAAAACTATAATCAATTACTGTGGTTTCACAGTTAAAGTTCAAACAGTGTTCAAACATATCAAAGCACAATAAAACATTGTAATAACATTCTTTTTGTGTTTTCTTTCTTATACATTGATAAAATCATGAACAAAAAGAAGATTATTCTGTTTATCTGATTAAGAAGTTGAAAATGTCTCTTTAACATTTAAGAAAACCTGTTATGGTTCAAACTTGAACAGAGTTTTGTCTCTTTAAAGGAGGCCTTCTGAGACCAAGGTCAAAGACAGGTGGAACTGTTTATTCCATCTAGAGGTGACCATTACAATATTGAAAATGTGTCCATCACAACTTACATCATTATTGTTTTTTTTTACCGTTTCCTGTCCATCAGTATGAAACTCAGAATTAATGTCTGAGTATCAAGATTAGACCAAACAGTTTTACTTTCACAAGTGCAGCATAATGGCTTTCATCATGATGCTCCACTTGATATACAGTATATTTATACTTTATTAGAAATTCTTTTGGGTTTGTATTTATATAACAAACGCAAGACAGAAAAGAAAACAAAAGAAAGGAGAAAGGTGAAGAAAGAGCTTAAAAGGGAAACAAAGCTGCAACACATACAGTCTGCGTAAATCATCCATAAAGTGTGTGTGTGTGTGTGTGTGTGTGTGTGTGTGTGTGTGTGTGTGTGTGTGTGTGTGTGTGTGT